AGCGCACACTGTCTTGTAGCAAATCAGCTCAAAGGGGAAATCATTCATAGCTAGTTATGATTTATTATAAATATATAGATCCGCTGTAAGTATTTACTTGACATCTCAGTGTCAACTGTCTGTTCATTCTAAGAGCGTTACTTTTCCGTTTAAGGAAAATAACTTTCTTATTGTACAATACTACTCAGAGCATGTAGCAAAAATCTGCATAATTAGGGACTCCAGTTATGAGAAAACAATAAACAACCTCAAGTGTGATACACGTAAGACTTTATTAACTACGTAAACACTTGAACTAGTCTAACATACACACACACACACACACGCATACAGTTGGCACAGGAAAAGGTTTTGAAGCTGAAGCAGTAAAGAGAAAATAAATAATATGACTAAGTTTGATACTTGCACGTCGTGTCTGTCTGAAAGAGAGTCCTGATGCAATCTGAAGGCTCAAGTTGATCTTTGCTGAAGTTGGTTGATGAAAAAGAACCTGTTTGTGTCAGAGAATCTTGAAGTGGAAAGACTAGGCCGAAGCCTGGCACAAGCTTAGGTTGGGTTCTTGAGGTCTCTTAGCTCTGCATCTTGCCCTGGAGTTTCTACATCTGAAAACTTCTTCTGTTTAACTCTGATCTTTTGATCTTTTAAACCAGGGGTGTCAAACTCAATTCCTGGAGGGCCGGAGCCCTGCAGAGTTTAGATTCAACCCTAAGTAAAAACACCTGATCCAACTAATCAAGTTCTTCAGGCTTATTTGAAAACTACATGGTATGTGTGTTAGAGCAGGGTTGGAACAAAACTTTGCAGGGCTCCAGCCCTCCAGGAACTGAGTTTGACACCCCTGTTTTAAAGGGGTCATATGACGTTGCTAAAAATGCAATGTGTTTATGTGGTTTAAGGTTAAAAAAACACATTATTTTCCACATACTGTACATTATTGTTGCTCCTCTATGCCCCGCCTTTCTGAAACGCATTGATTTTTACAAAGCTCATCAGTCTGAAAAGCGAGGTGTGCTCTGATTGGCCAGCTATCCAGTGTGTTGTGATTGGCCGAATACCTCAAGCGTGTGACGGAAATGTTACGCCCCTTCAGACTGCAGAGAAGCCATGCATGAGGTTGTTGCAGCTCAGAGTTGAAAATTAACAGCAGTTTGAGGCAAAAAATGGGACCAAAATGAACAAAAATGCACCCCAAATGCAAGATACAGGTGCAAAAATGTAGGTGCACAATTAAACAAAATCGATTATGACTGTCAAGATTAAAGTGAAATATGAAAATAAATGAAAAGTGTTGAATGCAGCATTACATTTATATCTGCTCATGCTGCACCAAAGAGTACTATTTTTATTTTAATTTTATTTTTTTGCAGCATTGAGCATTACAGCCAATCACACATGTTTCTGTTGAGTATATGAATGCAACAGCTAATCAGAGGTGTTTAGATTAGTCACCGGTGAAGAAATCTGCTGAAAACCCTGGAGTTTATTTCAGTATGCTTCCTAACACATAAATAAAATCATAAACGGTAGATGACTGATTATTTGTATGGCTAAAAAAGTGTGTCAGGTATTGCAAAAAATATCAGTTATATTTCATAGATTGAAAACTGCTTTGAACGCACATAAACAGTAGAAAAGTTCTGTTCTAAAAATCCCTCTTCCTTTAAAGTGCTATTGGTCTCTAATTTAAAAAAAGTGATGGTTAAAGGGGTTACAGTTTATTTTAAGGTGTCCTTGTTACATTGTAATTATACATTTAGGTAATAAGTAATAATAATTAACAACATGCACGTAGGGTTAGGATTGGGGTTAGTTGCATGTAATTATGCGTAATTTACTGTTATTACTATGGTTAAAACATGTAACATATATTTTGCTTGAATCCATGAGTACTATTTTCATCACTTTGAGAATCAAGTCAAAAGTATATATATATATATATTTTCCTTCTCACCTTAGGTATGGGCCCATATGATCTGCTAGCCAAGCACATGGTTACAGAGCTCAACGCAGTTATTGTGTCTGTAGAGTAAGTATCAAATGTTGTTCATTCAATAAAAAATGCTTGCTTGCTTAAATAAGGTCACACAGGATCTGGCGATTGATTGATTGATTGATTGATGTAATTTTATGTAATTGTGCTTTTAATTTCTATTACAGCCATTAAATTGTTAATTAATCATCAGCAAATTAATAAATAGCACATATAACTATGGAATATGACTATGGCATATATAACTATAAATATGGAATTCCCTCAGTTCCCTATTGAAGTGGAACTCAACACTGCGTCATGATGTTGACTCTATGGGAACACTCATCGTGAGCCGGTGTTTAAAGCATGTTTGGTAAATGCCCATCTTGATTGGCTACTGCAGTCAGGTGACGTCACAGGGGTGCCTGGAGAACAGGTCATCAGCTTCATTGTCTTCAGGGGGCCGTTTGTCTGTGTGTGTGTGTGTGTGTGTGTGTGTGTGCTATAGTCTGTGTGGGAAAGCTCAAAAAAGAAAGTTAAAGAAATAAGTGAAAGCAGATTTAGAGATTTAGACGGTGTTGCAGGCGTACTAATGCGATTTATTGAAGGATGTTGACTGACAACCTAACAGATTAAGCTTGAGATGGCAGCCAGAGAGCAGCAACTGGCTTAATCTGTCAGAGCTGAAAGAAAAGGAAATATATTTTCTCTGGTTTCGTCTTGAGGCGGTTGTCCAGAAGTTTATGGAGAAGAAGATTAAGTCAGTGGTGTTGACTGCCACAGACAGCGAGTGTTGATGCTCAGGCCCCACCTCTGAGGAGTCAGGGTTTCAGACGGTGACCTCACTCGATGCCGAAAAAGGATCTCAGAAGTCCTCATGACTAAATGTGCAATAAACATTTGATTGCACTTATTAAACGGTGACAAGGCTGTGCACGTCCCCTGCAGTTACACTTTCCCACAATGCCTCCTCGATCTGAGGATTGACAAGTGTAGGTGCTTTGTTTTAGGCGCGATTGACAGCTTGATAGCATCTCGCTCCATTGTACTGATGGCCGTGTGCATAGCTCAACTGTAGCGCACACTGTCTTGTAGCAAATCAGCTCAAAGGGGAAATCATTCATAGCTAGTTATGATTTATTATAAATATATAGATCCGCTGTAAGTATTTACTTGACATCTCAGTGTCAACTGTCTGTTCATTCTAAGAGCGTTACTTTTCCGTTTAAGGAAAATAACTTTCTTATTGTACAATACTACTCAGAGCATGTAGCAAAAATCTGCATAATTAGGGACTCCAGTTATGAGAAAACAATAAACAACCTCAAGTGTGATACACGTAAGACTTTATTAACTACGTAAACACTTGAACTAGTCTAACATACACACACACACACACACGCATACAGTTGGCACAGGAAAAGGTTTTGAAGCTGAAGCAGTAAAGAGAAAATAAATAATATGACTAAGTTTGATACTTGCACGTCGTGTCTGTCTGAAAGAGAGTCCTGATGCAATCTGAAGGCTCAAGTTGATCTTTGCTGAAGTTGGTTGATGAAAAAGAACCTGTTTGTGTCAGAGAATCTTGAAGTGGAAAGACTAGGCCGAAGCCTGGCACAAGCTTAGGTTGGGTTCTTGAGGTCTCTTAGCTCTGCATCTTGCCCTGGAGTTTCTACATCTGAAAACTTCTTCTGTTTAACTCTGATCTTTTGATCTTTTAAACCAGGGGTGTCAAACTCAATTCCTGGAGGGCCGGAGCCCTGCAGAGTTTAGATTCAACCCTAAGTAAAAACACCTGATCCAACTAATCAAGTTCTTCAGGCTTATTTGAAAACTACATGGTATGTGTGTTAGAGCAGGGTTGGAACAAAACTTTGCAGGGCTCCAGCCCTCCAGGAACTGAGTTTGACACCCCTGTTTTAAAGGGGTCATATGACGTTGCTAAAAATGCAATGTGTTTATGTGGTTTAAGGTTAAAAAAACACATTATTTTCCACATACTGTACATTATTGTTGCTCCTCTATGCCCCGCCTTTCTGAAACGCATTGATTTTTACAAAGCTCATCAGTCTGAAAAGCGAGGTGTGCTCTGATTGGCCAGCTATCCAGTGTGTTGTGATTGGCCGAATACCTCAAGCGTGTGACGGAAATGTTACGCCCCTGAGAAGCCATGCATGAGGTTGTTGCAGCTCAGAGTTGAAAATTAACAGCAGTTTGAGGCAAAAAATGGGACCAAAATGAACAAAAATGCACCCCAAATGCAAGATACAGGTGCAAAAATGTAGGTGCACAATTAAACAAAATCGATTATGACTGTCAAGATTAAAGTGAAATATGAAAATAAATGAAAAGTGTTGAATGCAGCATTACATTTATATCTGCTCATGCTGCACCAAAGAGTACTATTTTTATTTTAATTTTATTTTTTTGCAGCATTGAGCATTACAGCCAATCACACATGTTTCTGTTGAGTATATGAATGCAACAGCTAATCAGAGGTGTTTAGATTAGTCACCGGTGAAGAAATCTGCTGAAAACCCTGGAGTTTATTTCAGTATGCTTCCTAACACATAAATAAAATCATAAACGGTAGATGACTGATTATTTGTATGGCTAAAAAAGTGTGTCAGGTATTGCAAAAAATATCAGTTATATTTCATAGATTGAAAACTGCTTTGAACGCACATAAACAGTAGAAAAGTTCTGTTCTAAAAATCCCTCTTCCTTTAAAGTGCTATTGGTCTCTAATTTAAAAAAAGTGATGGTTAAAGGGGTTACAGTTTATTTTAAGGTGTCCTTGTTACATTGTAATTATACATTTCGGTAATAAGTAATAATAATTAACAACATGCACGTAGGGTTAGGATTGGGGTTAGTTGCATGTAATTATGCGTAATTTACTGTTATTACTATGGTTAAAACATGTAACATATATTTTGCTTGAATCCATGAGTACTATTTTCATCACTTTGAGAATCAAGTCAAAAGTATATATATATATATATTTTCCTTCTCACCTTAGGTATGGGCCCATATGATCTGCTAGCCAAGCACATGGTTACAGAGCTCAACGCAGTTATTGTGTCTGTAGAGTAAGTATCAAATGTTGTTCATTCAATAAAAAATGCCTTGCTTGCTTAAATAAGGTCACACAGGATCTGGCGATTGATTGATTGATTGATTGATGTAATTTTATGTAATTGTGCTTATAATTTCTATTACAGCCATTAAATTGTTAATTAATCATCAGCAAATTAATAAATAGCACATATAACTATGGAATATGACTATGGCATATATAACTATAAATATGGAATTCCCTCAGTTCCCTATTGAAGTGGAACTCAACACTGCGTCATGATGTTGACTCTATGGGAACACTCATCGTGAGCCGGTGTTTAAAGCATGTTTGGTAAATGCCCATCTTGATTGGCTACTGCAGTCAGGTGACATCACAGGGGTGCCTGGAGAACAGGTCATCAGCTTCATTGTCTTCAGGGGGCCGTTTGTCTGTGTGTGTGTGTGTGTGTGTGTGTGTGTGTGTGTGTGCTATAGTCTGTGTGGGAACGCTCAAAAAAGAAAGATAAAGAAATGAGAGTATGGAGATTTAGAGAGTGGGGCTGTTGAGTTTGAGGCAAAAAATGGGACCAAAATGAACAAAAATGCACCCCAAATGCAAGATACAGGTGCAAAAATGTAGGTGCACAATTAAACAAAATCGATTATGACTGTCAAGATTAAAGTGAAATATGAAAATAAATGAAAAGTGTTGAATGCAGCATTACATTTATATCTGCTCATGCTGCACCAAAGAGTACTATTTTTATTTTAATTTTATTTTTTTGCAGCATTGAGCATTACAGCCAATCACACATGTTTCTGTTGAGTATATGAATGCAACAGCTAATCAGAGGTGTTTAGATTAGTCACCGGTGAAGAAATCTGCTGAAAACCCTGGAGTTTATTTCAGTATGCTTCCTAACACATAAATAAAATCATAAACGGTAGATGACTGATTATTTGTATGGCTAAAAAAGTGTGTCAGGTATTGCAAAAAATATCAGTTATATTTCATAGATTGAAAACTGCTTTGAACGCACATAAACAGTAGAAAAGTTCTGTTCTAAAAATCCCTCTTCCTTTAAAGTGCTATTGGTCTCTAATTTAAAAAAAGTGATGGTTAAAGGGGTTACAGTTTATTTTAAGGTGTCCTTGTTACATTGTAATTATACATTTCGGTAATAAGTAATAATAATTAACAACATGCACGTAGGGTTAGGATTGGGGTTAGTTGCATGTAATTATGCGTAATTTACTGTTATTACTATGGTTAAAACATGTAACATATATTTTGCTTGAATCCATGAGTACTATTTTCATCACTTTGAGAATCAAGTCAAAAGTATATATATATATATATTTTCCTTCTCACCTTAGGTATGGGCCCATATGATCTGCTAGCCAAGCACATGGTTACAGAGCTCAACGCAGTTATTGTGTCTGTAGAGTAAGTATCAAATGTTGTTCATTCAATAAAAAATGCTTGCTTGCTTAAATAAGGTCACACAGGATCTGGCGATTGATTGATTGATTGATTGATGTAATTTTATGTAATTGTGCTTATAATTTCTATTACAGCCATTAAATTGTTAATTAATCATCAGCAAATTAATAAATAGCACATATAACTATGGAATATGACTATGGCATATATAACTATAAATATGGAATTCCCTCAGTTCCCTATTGAAGTGGAACTCAACACTGCGTCATGATGTTGACTCTATGGGAACACTCATCGTGAGCCGGTGTTTAAAGCATGTTTGGTAAATGCCCATCTTGATTGGCTACTGCAGTCAGGTGACGTCACAGGGGTGCCTGGAGAACAGGTCATCAGCTTCATTGTCTTCAGGGGGCCGTTTGTCTGTGTGTGTGTGTGTGTGTGTGTGTGTGTGCTATAGTCTGTGTGGGAAAGCTCAAAAAAGAAAGTTAAAGAAATAAGTGAATGCAGATTTAGAAAGTGTGGCGGTGTTGCAGGCGTACTAATGCGATTTATTGAAGGATGTTGACTGACAACCTAACAGATTAAGCTTGAGATGGCAGCCAGAGAGCAGCAACTGGCTTAATCTGTCAGAGCTGAAAGAAAAGGAAATATATTTTCTCTGGTTTCGTCTTGAGGCGGTTGTCCAGAAGTTTATGGAGAAGAAGATTAAGTCAGTGGTGTTGACTGCCACAGACAGCGAGTGTTGATGCTCAGGCCCCACCTCTGAGGAGTCAGGGTTTCAGACGGTGACCTCACTCGATGCCGAAAAAGGATCTCAGAAGTCCTCATGACTAAATGTGCAATAAACATTTGATTGCACTTATTAAACGGTGACAAGGCTGTGCACGTCCCCTGCAGTTACACTTTCCCACAATGCCTCCTCGATCTGAGGATTGACAAGTGTAGGTGCTTTGTTTTAGGCGCGATTGACAGCTTGATAGCATCTCGCTCCATTGTACTGATGGCCGTGTGCATAGCTCAACTGTAGCGCACACTGTCTTGTAGCAAATCAGCTCAAAGGGGAAATCATTCATAGCTAGTTATGATTTATTATAAATATATAGATCCGCTGTAAGTATTTACTTGACATCTCAGTGTCAACTGTCTGTTCATTCTAAGAGCGTTACTTTTCCGTTTAAGGAAAATAACTTTCTTATTGTACAATACTACTCAGAGCATGTAGCAAAAATCTGCATAATTAGGGACTCCAGTTATGAGAAAACAATAAACAACCTCAAGTGTGATACACGTAAGACTTTATTAACTACGTAAACACTTGAACTAGTCTAACATACACACACACACACACACGCATACAGTTGGCACAGGAAAAGGTTTTGAAGCTGAAGCAGTAAAGAGAAAATAAATAATATGACTAAGTTTGATACTTGCACGTCGTGTCTGTCTGAAAGAGAGTCCTGATGCAATCTGAAGGCTCAAGTTGATCTTTGCTGAAGTTGGTTGATGAAAAAGAACCTGTTTGTGTCAGAGAATCTTGAAGTGGAAAGACTAGGCCGAAGCCTGGCACAAGCTTAGGTTGGGTTCTTGAGGTCTCTTAGCTCTGCATCTTGCCCTGGAGTTTCTACATCTGAAAACTTCTTCTGTTTAACTCTGATCTTTTGATCTTTTAAACCAGGGGTGTCAAACTCAATTCCTGGAGGGCCGGAGCCCTGCAGAGTTTAGATTCAACCCTAAGTAAAAACACCTGATCCAACTAATCAAGTTCTTCAGGCTTATTTGAAAACTACATGGTATGTGTGTTAGAGCAGGGTTGGAACAAAACTTTGCAGGGCTCCAGCCCTCCAGGAACTGAGTTTGACACCCCTGTTTTAAAGGGGTCATATGACGTTGCTAAAAATGCAATGTGTTTATGTGGTTTAAGGTTAAAAAAACACATTATTTTCCACATACTGTACATTATTGTTGCTCCTCTATGCCCCGCCTTTCTGAAACGCATTGATTTTTACAAAGCTCATCAGTCTGAAAAGCGAGGTGTGCTCTGATTGGCCAGCTATCCAGTGTGTTGTGATTGGCCGAATACCTCAAGCGTGTGACGGAAATGTTACGCCCCTTACCATACTGTGATGCCCTGTCCGGCCAGAGCGACGAGACAAAAACATTAAAACCCATTATTTTTGTGGCATCTAGTGGGGACATAATTACAGATTATAATGACTTATACGCGTATCACGCCACGTAAACATAAAAGCATGTCTGCATTTGTGATCAGAGAAACGACAGACAACAAGCGCTACTCTACACTGCTCAAAACTCGCCTTTGAATCATCAGTTGCAAATTCTTTAAATATGAAAACATACATACAGGCTGTGAGTCGGAAGTGCCAGACTGTCCTTGCAAAGTTGTAATTGCCCCACTTTATAGAAACAGCCTTTGTGCGCAGACGGCATTTCAGGCTACTCTCCCAGGTTCAGGAAACAGTCCTCCGTAAAATGCGCTGCACACATCTGAATATTTGGGTTAAACTGTTCTGGAACAGTGTTGTAAATACATCTTGGAAGGCCAAACAAAGTAGTTTGGCTTTCACAACGAAGCACACAGCGTCTCCACGACATGACGGCAGCAGCAACAATACTACAGTGAGAATCAAGTTACACCTTCTTTCTTTGCGTGAATATTTGGGTGGTGTTATGCAAATCTTCCCACACAGTGACGTAGACATGTGGGGGCGTGTTTAAATGAGGAGTTTTAGGAGGGCGTGGATGAGTCTTAACTTAAATAAAGAATATCTCTTTGGGTTTGAGACTTGAGTCTTTGCAACTTTAGGGATCTTATCTATTCACAAACAGCTTGTAACACTCCAAAGAGAAAGGCAAACTTGAATTTGCATCATATGACCCCTTTAAACTGTGAGGATGTCCCACCTTTCAGAAGGCGAGTGAGCCAATGAGAAAGTGTTCCTTCTGAGGGAACGTTTACGACCGTTTGTTCTCAGGCATATGTTTTGCATATGGACTTTGATTGGATGATGATGAAGAAACTATTAAAGACTCTGGTAACACTAATACCTTCCATAGGTATCAACATATAATATAAATGAAAATTTAGACCATTAAAAATGCAGCCGAAAGATACCAAACATGGCATACCTGTGATCTCTGTTAACAATAGTATGCAATTCTAAAATGTTCATTTAAAAGAGTTCATATAAATACATAAGAAAAACACTATAAGAGGAAAAATAATGAGATGGGGAAAATTGGGTACATATCCCTACATTTCTCAAGTGGTTATATCTAGAGGGAGATGGACTGTATTGTACAAGGGTACATTTGTCTGTTTCAAAGTGAATTTAGAGTGAAAACTCTACGTTCCTTTGAGTTGTAAAACAATCTTATCTTGATGTATGTCTTTGTTACCACGGTAACCAGAGGCCTGGTTCTCCCTACCACATGTTTTACTTGTTGGGGAGGGGTATTGTCCACTATTTGTTAAATATAACAAATACTCATGTGTCTGATCCACCTCAATCATTACAGTCTCGAAAGGAGGTGAATGGAACAGCAGTCTGGGTGGTATTATGGTATGGA